GCAGCCAAAGCAGTGCCCACACTTTGGTGTTTAACCATCTTTAAATTTTGTTTTCTGTCTCTGGCATGTTCTTGCACATATATGACAGCTTTAAAAAAACTCAAGCTGAAGTTCCAATCAGATATCATGAGAACTAAATCGCCAAGAACAAAGAGACGTGAGTCAGCTCCTCCAAGTTTTCAGAGAGGAAGTTGATGAACATCACTGGAAGATACTACTCTCTGGAAGATACTGCTCTCTAATAGATGGACTAGGAAAAAGGGGTGCTCAGAAAACCTTTAAGAGCTTCAAAACTCAACCAAGATGAGCCTTTCTGTGTCAACTTGGTCAAGATTTTTGTTTTGTTTTTAGACACTTGGGATAAAGCAACTTAATTCCCAGTGAAATAACTATTGTTTTGAATAAATGAGACTGAAAATTTACAAATCACCTTATGAGCACTAAAAATCTGTCCAGTCATGTGATTTGAGGGCCATGTGCTGCACTGTTTCCCTGCCTCCATGACTGCCAATTTGGGCCAAGTGAGGTCCTTATTTCTTCCTAGTTTTGGAAGGCACTATTAAGTTGGGAGCCATCTGTAATGTGTTAGCTGGGCACAAGGCTGCCAAAATAATGACCACATTTCCAGCCTCCCTTGCAGCTAACTGTGGCCATGCCAGAGTCTGGGAGGTGGTAGCTGATAATGTTATTAAAATACCAATTTAAGTGCATCCCTGAATGCTGAGCCTATTCATTAATAACATTTTGTATTTCAACTTTTTCAAAGTAAAAAGAAGTACCTGTGAATAAATATAGTAAAGATTTCCCAAATAGTCTCTTCCAAAAACAGCCATCAGTATTTCAAGAAATAGTGCCGATTGGGAGTACCAGGGAGCACTACACAGGCAATGAGTGGATATTCTATATAATATTCTATATAATAGTTAATAGTAGTAATGATAAAGCTGCTAATGATGGCTTACATTACTGGGTGCTTCCTATGAATACTTCCATGCATTTTCTTCTTTTTAAATAACAAAATCTGAGTTTTAGCTCCATATGGCTACCCAACCAAAGAGCACTTTTCCCAGTCTTGTCCACACTTTGGTGGGATCATGTGATTAAGCTCTGGCCAACACCTGAGCACTGGCCAGAAGGAGAGGAGGACTGTGCAGCTAACAAACAAAGGTATACCAGCAACCTGGCCACCCTTCCCACTTTCTAGATGGGAGACCCAGAGCAGTGAGGAGGTATCATAGGGTCGTCCTACCTTCCCTTGACTGCTTCCCTGTGGGTGATCAAGTCCACAGTTATTTTGTTAAAGCAGCCTAGCCTGTTTCCTTCTTTATGCACAGATCTGATCTGGCAGCTTTCATCTTCTTTACTATATACTACATCCAATGAAGGATATACCATTGCTTAATAAACCACTAAGAAAGAAAAAATGTTGCCAATTAAACTATGTTACAGTCTTAACATAGTGTTTATTCTGTAAGTATTAAAAGCATTTTTTAGACTTATTTAGACAGATTTTTTTTTTTGTTATAAACCACTCATATACTACATGGAAAGGAAAACATACAGAAAAACCACTGAGATATTCCTAAAACTTCTTCACGTGCAGAATAACTTTCCTGAGTGACTTTTTTACTCAGAATCCTTGACGTTAGTACCCTGGGTGCTATCCAGGGTGTTGGTGATAAAACATTTCTGGAAGGACATCATTTTTGTCCCAGGGCTTTTGTTGAGTTCCCAACACCCAGTCTGCATGTTCTGATGTTGGAGCTTTCTCGATTCTACCAGATGTCAGTGCAAAGTTGTCAGACAAGAACCAGAAACCACATTATTTCCTAAAATGGCCCTTCCACGATTTGTTGATGGAAACTGTGGGGATAGTGTGCCAGTTCTCAGACCAATGACAGGTCGCTATGCTTTTGAGGGAGCTGCTGCTTTAAATTTTCCGATACGTGTCTGTGAAAGAAATCAAGAACTAACACGCACAGCTTCCTGGATGTCTATTCCAGGGACTTCTAAGATAGGCCCACCTCCCCTTTTCCTCCAAGTCCGTGGGGGGGCGGGGATCTCTTGGAGAAAAGGTTTATTAGATGATGCATATAAATCACAAAGGTACAGCGGTGTGCACAGCTATGGCCAAGTTCCCACAGGTACAGGCAAGGACAAATACGCCGTGACACCTGGCCAACGAGGATTAAAATACACAATCAACTGAAAGATAAATACCAGTTTTGGAGATTAAAAAAATGTGCTTTATAGAATCACTAGAGTATAGTAATATCCATAACGACCTTATAAAGCAGGTGATATTCTGGTTTCAATTTTGTACAGGAAGAACTGAGATCAAACAGCTTGCCCAGACTCTCACAGCTATCAGGTGGTGAAGTGATGCTGCAAAGCAAGGCACCTGTCTCTTAACCATAATCCTGTGAAGCAGTAATTCACCGCACAACACTTTTTTCTTCAAGTTTAGAAGGGAGGCTGGCAACCTACAGTCCACCAGCTAAGAATGGCTTCTCCATTTTAAATGGTTTTTAAGAACTTCGAAATAACATTTTGGGGCATGTGAATATTATGTGAAATTCAAACGACAGTGTCCATAAATAAAATTTTAAAATTTCACCAACAAAAAATTGTGAAGATGTGTTTTTTTCCTCATATAAAAGTACCTACATAATATCTTCTATATTGCCTCCTGGCCTGCAGAACCTAAAAATCTTTGCTACCTAGTCTGCCAAACCCTGGCTTATTGCTATACAAATAAAAATACCAGCCAGCATCCGCCGAGGCCTCGTCCTGGCAGTTCCCAGGCTGGGCGTCTGTTCCCGTTCTCTTCCAGCCCTTCCCCTAACCCTTTCCCGCAGACGCTCATTTCTCCCACTGTAGTAAGGCCGGAGGCCGTCCGTCCAGGGCGGCGGGGTGCTGCCCAGGGCCCTGCTGGCCCCTCCACTGGCCTCTAAGTCAGTGACGGCTTTCAGTGAAAGCAGGCACGAATAAAAGCCACAAATGACCCCAAGTTTGCAGCCACTCGTTCACCAGCCACGCCGTGAGCGCCCGGCCTACACCCGGCGCTCGCCAGGAGGATCCAGCAGGTGAACAGGAGGACAGGGCCCCCCACCCGACGCCACCGAGCTCGCACCGCAGGCGGAGGCTGACAATGAACCAGCAAGTTTCAAACAGTGCTGAGAGCTCCCAGAAAACAAAACCGGGTGACGGGACGGTGGTTTCATCCCCCCCCCAAGGTGAGCTCAGCTGTGCAGCAGTTAAAATATAAGAGCCTGAAGCGACCGAAAGTAAGGACAACGTTCTGAAGACGACCTGGTAAGTTAAAGGGCCCCTGAGAGTCCTTCACACGGCGAAGAGCCCTGGGAACAGGGGTGAGCGGTGGACACTTGCTTTCAGAAGGAAGGACAGAGGGAAAAGGAAGGGGAAGTGAACGGACGCAGGTGGCCCAGCCGGCCCCGCGACGCGCAGCCAGG